ATAACTGTCACTTATACCGACGTCCTATCTGTCTCTTTTCTCTGTTATCACCAGGCTATGAGTCACGTAATTGTAAAATGGGAAATCTACGACGGAAAAGTGACGAATCAAAAGTATCGTGAGCACGTATTATGATGTATGCATAGGCATACGTGGACTAGAGAGATGGAGGAAAGAGAAAGGGAAGAGCAAAGATGAGCACTTAAAAAGAAGGATAGACAGGGTCAGACCCTCAGATGTGTGACGATTCTCGAACGAATAGGTGTGTACGTGTGCTGATCTTTGTAATTATAAATTGTGAATACACGTGACTAATATTATTTTCTTCCATATTTCGAAACTGTGTTGTATCTTCATATTTATTTTTTAAACTGCAATTTAGCATAAATAACCAACACTTGGCACAACATCCGTTTATTTCAGTTGTGCGAATGTTGTGCCAAGTGTTGGTTATTATGCTAAATTGTGGTTTAAAAAATATTATTTTCTTTTTTATTTTGTGCATGTTATAAGTTATAAATAAATATAAACAAACAATGCTAACCTGATAACATTAAATCTAAATACCAAAATGATTAATTTACTGTGTTTTTGTTATTTCTTACTCCTGTTTTTAGGTATTCAGTATTTGGCCAAATAGTGATTAAATATTCAGTATTCAGCTGAATAGCAAAAAATAGGCCGAACAGGAAGAATACCGAATAGTAAACGAATATATGTACATCACTAGTTGTGAGTTCTTCTGTTGGTGTGCCACTGTGCTGTGTATCAGTGTTTGTTTTGTTTGTGAATAATTTATTTTGTTGTTTTCGTAGTGTACATGTTTTGTATCTTTTGAGTCTACATGCTTTGGCTGTGAGTTTTTGTTTTAGTGTATCGATGTATTCTGTAATGTGTGTGTTGTGATGTTCGTGTTTTGTGTGCATTTTGATTTTCTTGAAAATATTTTTGAGTTGTTTCTTTAATTTGGGTGTTATGTTGTTTTTAGTGTATTGTGTCAGCCTGCCTAATTGCTGTCTAATGTCATTGTGTTTCTATTCTTCTCTGCCATGCAGGCTTGTGATAGAATTGTGTTTTGTGTGTGTCTGTATGTGATTGTATTTTCAGACCAAGGTGTGTTACTATTGTGACTGCCCCATCATAAACTAATGTATGAATGTCTGAGAGTGTAGAAATTGAATGAATGTAGTTTGGTAGTAAGTGAGTGTTTACATAATTTAGTGTTTTTCCTACTTCCTTTGACGTGTTGATTTTCGGTATTCGTGGTCTTTGTGTGGGATCTGTACCAGTATATTTAGTGAGTGTTTCCTGAAATATAAGTGAGAGCATATTAACTAATTCTATGTCTATGTTATCAGTGATGGATGAGGAAGTGCCTGTAGTATCATTAGTTGTAGTTGTTGTATGTGTGCTATTATCAATGCTTGTTGCTGGATTATCCTGACAGGTTATGTGATCTTCATTAATGTTAAATGTTTCTGTCTGTTTATGTATTTGATCAGCAACCTGTTGTTTGATAAGTTCAAGTGTTGTTTGTGGGATAAGGTTGTTGTGTATAATTGTTCTTTTTTGATCAACAACCCTTTGTTTGATGACAGTGAGGTGAGGATATTGTTGTGTGAATCTATGGTGTAGTTGTTGTCTATATGCTGTCATGTTTGTTTCGAGTCTTGTGATCGTGTAGTAAGTACGGATGATAAACTCGTTCATTTCTGATGTCCATTTCATCAGTTGACATGTTTTTCCAACCATTGTGGTCTGTGGATGCATTGCCACAGAAACATCAAGGCTAGGTTGGTTCCTCACATCTGTTGAGGGCATTGCAGTAGCATGCTTGGGCTGGTGCTGCTTTCGCCACTGGTATCCAAGGGAGACTGTGGCCTATTTTTTAAACGTGAGCCTCTGCCTAACCCACAAACACAGACCTTGTTAACCTGGGCGATGTCTGAGCCGATATCACACTTTGATCTGGTTATTACCATGATAAAAATCTCCACAGAATGTGGGTGTGGTCACTCTTAGCTTCATTTCTCCCCATAAACCTTATTGGCATGGGTGTCCCTATCAGGAGCTTGTGTTCCAGCCTGCATTGCTCTATGGTTCAATAAAATTACTGGGATCTCCCAACACGACAGGTGGTGACCAAGGAAGAGTTATTATAATTATTATCATTGTATTATTATTATATTTATATGTTTTTTAATTATTTTTACTTTACTCATTTATTTACATATCTATTTTATTTTATTTTTTCTGGATTTGAATTTGTAGTTTTAAATTTAAAACAATTCCATTTTGTTTATTCTGTCATTTGAGTATGACCTAAATTGAAGATTGAAAACACTTCTGATTAAATATTTTTTGGTAATCATAGCTTTAGCAGTTTGTTTTATTATTATTGTGAGATCTGCGGGTAATTAGATTAATTACTAAATTAATATAAAAAAATTTTTTTTTTCTGTTGATAAAATTTTAAACAAAAAGGATGTAACATTCGTCATTCTTGGAGAGAAGAGAAGTTGAACCTCTTCTTTTTTTTTTTTTTAAGTAAGTAAGTAAGTAATCTTTATTGACGTAGAAGGCTTTTGCCTGTTACAAGGGCGTTTTATTTTGATGAAACGCATATTAACATCTCATATAATAATTTTTTAACAATATTAGTATTTACCATTTATTAATCAATATATTTATATTGATTAATAAATCTCCTTTTAGACAGCTGACTTGCATGATGAATCAAATGGGGCACACGCTACTGAGCCACCCAAGAGAGTCGGACAGAAGTCCTATAAAAAGGGGCATTTTTTCCTCATTCGGGGTAGTTCTTCCAAAGAAGATTGCCATATGAAATTGGATGCAGTTCATCCAAAGCAGAACCTGCCATACGAAAAGGCCTTATAAGTGTCGATCTCTGCATCAAGATCGCCGTATATAAATAAGGACCATGTCCCATAAAAATTGAAGGTGCCATATAGAAGACAGAAAGTGTTATAAGATTTATTCTCCTGATTCACATTTCTAATAGAAGATTACAACTACAAATACTTCTATGATAATTGACGTGGTAGTATATGTTAGAGTTATGTAAACTCTCTCTCATGTGCATAGATAGATTAGATTAGCATATATTTGATCTCTCAGTCTTTGTATCTTATTTCATTGTTTTATTAAATATTTTTGTTATCTCTTAATATGGACTCATCCTTGACTAAAATCCGAGCCTACGCCTACTCCACTTACTCGCGACCCTCCCACTCGATATTCCTCTAAAAATTAGACATAAGAATGCCTAATGCTATATCTAGGCTGGTGTCAGGAAAAACAACTTCCAGGGGTTTCTTACGAACTCCTGTTCATCAATAAACATCTTAGGAAGCCATTCGTTGATGTTGTGAACCAATCTAACGATTGTGTGTTGTGTAAGTGACATAGAGCCCAAATTAAAATTACTTTATGCCCCATCTCCTCACATTATCATATTGGTGTTAAGTTTTGTGGAATTTCATGAAATATTTTTATTTACAAATATAAACATCCATTAATCTGACTTTTAGATTAATGACAAACAATTGCCAGATTACATCAGACTGTAGTAATGCTATTATTTAATAATTAAATGCCAAGTAATTTGACCTAGAGATAGGTGTTAGACACCATCTACTGATACCTTATTAAAGTTATCACTTATCTCTAGGCCAAATTACTTGACATTTAATTATTAAATAGTAGCATTATTATAGCCCAATGTAATCCGGCAATCATTTTGTATTAATTTTATTTACTATATATTATATGTATCTTTAATTGTCCCTTGAATGGAATTAAAAACATTTTATTGAGAATGACCAAGACATTTAAGTGAAAAAATACTCTTTTAGGTAAATCTTTAAGTTATGGTAATATGTTTTTTTTTTTTACTTTTCACCCTTAAGGCACTAAGAGGGTCTTTTAATCATACCCATTATGGGTTTGGACAAGTCTACAATGAATGATTAGGTGGTGAAAGATGGGGCCTGATTTATCTGAGATAGACATCCCTAAAAATTCCTGAGGTGTTTTGACCTTAGATTTGTTCCCAGGTCCCCAGAGAAATAGGCTGACACATTGTTTTCAACTGGGGTGCCACAATGACATGTAGAAACATTTAGGGATGCCATGAAATGTAGTGCTGAGCAGCATCATAATGCTTATATGTATTACTAAAAGTATAAAAAGTTCAATAACTCTACATTATAAAGCAGTAGGGATGCTGCAAGAAAAATAAGTATCAAATTAGGAAAGCCCCTAATAGAAAAAAGTTGAAAAAACACTGGGATGACATCTTAACTGCTCAGCAATCTGACTACTTAAGTTAGAGTAGTGTCAAATATATGTTTAAATTTATTTAATTCAGTTTATTAAACATTTTTGGCTTGTAAATAAATATATTAATACAGCATAAAAAATTTAAATGTAGAAACTTAATCATGATAATTTTCTGTCTATAATCTGTGGATTATATGTGTTAAAAAATCTTCCAACTTTGATGGTATAGATTATATAGTAACTTTAATGATATACATTTTATCATGTCAAGATTTCTTAACATGATAAAATTTGAGTGTTGTGTTGTTTGTATGTTGAATGTATACAAAATCATTTGAGCTTTCCACAAGTAGCAACACAAACATTTATTAATGATGATATGATTTGTTATTTTAAACTTATTAGCTATATTAATTAAGTTAACTAAATTATTACCAAATTGCTTTATAATCATATATATTTGACATCTATAATCTCTAGATTTGGAAATATCATTAGCAAATGTCTACATTTGAAATATTGAAAATGTTAAAGTTCTCCATATTCTAAATAATAATAAAATCATATAGCCAATATTCCTCAAAGATAATTTTAGAATTAATTCTAATAATAATAAAATTTCTACTACAATTTATTGTTATAACTTGTATATCATTTAACATTTTAATTTTTAGTTAATTTTTAACAATATTTACCTGAAAAATCCAAAACTTTGTAATAGGAGCACTCCACATCCAATATATCATTTTCCAAATTGGAGGTGGTGCACGAATAAATACTTCTTTTTCTCTAAGTAATGTTGCTACTTGTTGTCTATGTTTACCATGACCAAATGGAAATTCATATCTTACAGAATTACTGAAAAAATGTTTATAGAAAATAAATGCTTTTAAAATAATTTAGAATATAATTACTGTAGTGTAAAATAATATTTAATATTTAAATCACTCTCTTTAAAGTCAAACCATCCATTATTGTTTTAAAAATTTCTAAATAAAGGTTTTGAAAATAAGTCAAAATATTTAAAAATTTTAACTTTTATCTTCAAATAAGCTTTTCAAAATATCAAATTACAAAAATATTTTGTTTATAAATATAAACAAACATGTATCTTCTCATTGAAAACTTTGGCATAAATATATTCACAGTTCTATTGACAAAACAATATCACATTCTCGATTAAACTGTGAATGTATTGTGAGAATCTGAATATGAGATTAATTTATTTTTCTAAAATCTAAATCTCAATGTAATATTTCATCATTAAATTGCGCACTTTTTCACCTTTTGAAAAAAATTTGCGGCGAATGAGGAAGTACAATTTCCTTTCCTGACCGTTTACTTCCTGAGAAAATTACTATTGTATCTAATGACTAGACTCCTAACTAACTCGACTCATTGTCAGATGACCACAGTCCGAACTCCTCCTTAGAGAAAATTTCTGAATATAAAGGTTTTATGTGCCTGATTCGAGGTAACTTTGGCCATTCCAGACAGTTCTCCTGAACTTTTGTTTGTGCCTAGTCTCCCCAACTTCCCAACTTCCACCTTGCATACGAACCAAGAAAGAAATCAAGATCAACGATTATATTCAGAGGTATTATGTCAAACCTTATGTAAGCTCTCTCTCCATATTTAGAGGTGTAAGTAGTTAGATGATATAGCGATAGATTATTCCTTTATGTATTTCTTTATTATATTCATTAAACTTTTGTTTGTTATTTGTTAACCTGTCTGTGTCACTTGATTAAATATGGAAATGGATGCCTATCGATAACCTTACCCATTAATTTTCCCACTTGTAATCAATAGCCCTCCTCGTAGAAAGAAACTACAGTGGTACCTCAGGATACGAAATTAATCCGTTCTGAAACTGAGATCGTATCATGAAAATGTCGTAAGGTGGATCATCTTTTTCCATACGATTACATGTAAAACTAAATAATTCGTTCCAACGCGAAAAACATACTCAAATTAAAGCCAAGTAATACATTTAAAAAAATAACTGTAGTAAGAAAAACAAATGAAAAATGCGAACTAATGTAACGTCGTATGGTGAGTTTTTGTTCGTATCGTGGAGCAAAATTATGTTCGAATTTCATGTCGTATCCTGAAAATTTCGTATTCTGGGGCGTTCGTAACCTGAGGTACCACTGTACTATTGTGAGTTAGGAATCCTGACAAGAGATGACGTTTTTACGATCGTCTTGTCTCCACATTCTTAAATTAGTATATTAAGGCCATCCAATGACAAAGTGAGTGGTTTTTACCTAACTATGCTGATTAAGTGTCAATAATAACTGCCTATTGACCCTGGCTTCTCACAGCTTTATGCTTGCTTTTGTTTATATATTTATGGCTTCATATATGAAAACATTGCAGAAAAACAATTATAAAACTATTTATCTATAATAAAATTTTAGATCTGAGTCAAACATTTATTTTTGATTAAATGATTTGTGGGACATTTCACATTCATCAAATTGAACAGTTTAACAGTTTTAAAGCAAAATAAGATTCATACTTGAATCTGTTATAACTTTTTGGAACACACTCCTATGTTCTATGTTTGAAATGATTTAGAAGCATTCAATCTTATGATAAGATGTGAAATATCTCAAAAACATTTAATTGAAAATAAATACAATTAATTTCTTGAGTTATATATACCGTATATCTGTGCAGATAAGATGATAGTTAAATCATAAAAAAAGACCCCAAAAATCTGGGGTCATCTTATAAAACAGATACAAAAAAATTAGATTGAAATTTATATAAAATAAAATGATTATAAAAAAACAAAAAAACTGTAATTATTTACTGGTAGAGAGTAGGGTATGTCCACAAAATAGAATAGCCCATACAACATTTTTGTGAATAGTCAAGGTCATTACCTGACTGCATGAATCAGTGTGAATGTTTGCAACAATTGCAAGACAGTGCTGCCAGATGCAAGAAAATAAAATTTGAAGTTCTTTCAAAAAATTATGAATAGGATATAATTCCGTATACGCTATACAGTGTTATTATTCAGATGATGATTGCTGATCTAAACTAAATTCATAGGCTATTGATAGTTTGGGAGTCATCTTATAGGACAGATATACGCTAAAACTATAAAAATTTGACGAAAATTTATACATTGGAATTACCGTAAATCTGTGCAGATTTACGGTAATTCCTTCAAAAGTACAGGGTGGGCCAAAAGTCACTTTACCATAGAAATAGCTCACCTTTGTGAAGAGGAAAATGGGGGTCATTTAAAGGATGTTAACTTTCATGTTTAGGCCAAAAACATCTCCAAGATGTGTACATTATAATGTTAAAAAGAAAGTTCAAAAATAATTAAAAGTAAAACAGTTATTTCGTTTTTATACAGTAAAGACTTTTGGCCCATCCTGTATATAAATGATGAAATCAATTGTAGATAAGAAAGATGGTTATATCCAATGTTAAAATTTCCGTAGTCATAGAATACACTCCAATACAATTTGCCTTTTCAAATATGTAAAAACTAGTTGTTACCTGCGACTTTGCCTGCGGAGGTTTTGCAAGCAAACCCCATTTATATTCAGTATTTCAACAACCATAGTAATTGTTATATAACACCTACCGCTGAGAATGATGAGAATTGCTGAGAATCAAACAAACTGTTTTCAATTTGATCAATTTTCTGGAATGTTTACAATCATTCTATAATCAAACCAATATGCAATAACAAATTCGAATTTAAAACGGTTCAAACATTTGGTTAAAAAATCAAAATATATAAAAATACTTATAACAATGTCTGAAATGTTATCAATTTAATACACCTAAGTACTCAATGAAGACTAAACATAGTTGAAAACAAAAAATCGCATCTAAAATGGTACAGTAGAAGCCGTTCTTCTAGTTAAGCCTTAATGCTCTCCCTCTCCTCCTGCAGGGGAATTTCGAAAATTCCCTTCTTAGTGTGTGTTTCCATGATGCACCCTAACTGTGTACCAAATTTCACCTCTTTAGGTTCAGCGGTTTGCTTTGGGCGATGATGAATCAGTGACTCAGTCAGTCAGGACAAGTAATTTTATATATTTAGATATACAGAACTATAAAGTTTAAATAAAAATGTGATGCCATCAGCCAAACATTGCAACAATATAAACTTAATAGAGCTAAAACCTGATTATTACAAGTATCTTTCGAGGTAAACTTTTATATAATTTTCTACACAGATATAAACTATGTAAGGTGCTCCACAAAAGTGTAGAACCACTCAAAAAAATTAGTCTTTTAAGGTCAGAACATGCTCTAATAGATAGAAATAGACTTTTTTATGTGTAATTCAGCACTTAACTTATAAAAACATAATTTTAGGAAACTAATACATGGCTGACTGCAAAATAGCAAAGAAGTCACTTTTCATACTGCCACATAAGTATAGAACCACCATCTTTCTTGCAAGTTTAAAGTATGAAAGATTTTTTTTCATCATGCCTTGTGGTATTTTTTTTTATCATAACATTTAACAGACTTTAAGAAAAGACAAATTGTAGCTTTGAGAAGCACTGGTTTAAGTCATCAGGCAATAGCAGTGAATGTCTTTCAAAACTTACCCTGCAAGACTGCAGATGAATTATTAATGCAGCTTCTAATTCCACAACATCAACATGTAAAATTTGAGATGATTTGGGTACAATTTCATGATGAACTCAGGATATTTTTCTTCTAATTATCAATTAGAGATTAAACTATGTACAAAAAATTTATTTAATTTTTGAGTCTATCAATTCATCCTTTTTATGAAGTGAGTTCTTCAAACCAATGTAAAGGCTACTTCTATGGTGTATGAAAAAAGGATGAATTGATAGACTCAAAAATTAAATAAATTTTTTGTACATAGTCTAATCTCTAATTGATAATTAGAAGAAAAATATCCTGAGTTCATCATGAAATTGTAACTATATGCAAATCAAAGATAACTCATATTCACCACTAGAGGGCTTGAACCTGATACAGATGGTATAAAACTTGGCAGTTGGTGAGAAGATTTACTTAATTTTTAATGTTAAGGTGTCAGATATCTAAAATGAAAGGCTGACATCTGATCGTTTTTAATTGTAAATTTTACCTATTGTTATTCGTTTTTATGAAGTGAGTTCTTCAAACCAATGTAAAGGCTATTTCTATGGTGTATGAAAAAAGGATGAATTGATAGACTCAAAAATTAAATAAATTTTTTGTACATAGTCTAATCTCTAATTGATAATTAGAATGATTTGGGTATTTAAGTAGTACATCACGAAACCGTTTGAAGAGTTTTACATGGCAACAACAACATTGTTTGGTCTCGAATGAGAAGGGCTCCTGCTCTTAAGCCTGAGCACAAAGCTGCCCTACCCAATTTTGCTAGAAAAACATGGCCACTCAATAGAATAAGGTAAGTTTTTTGTTTCATTTAGACCTATTGTGCTAGCACAGCAAAAAATAACATCTTTTTGTTGTATAGATAATCTTTTTAAACAAAAAAAAAATTTAATTTGGATGGGCTAGATGATTTAGCATTCTACTGGCATGATTTACAAAAAAAGCCCAAGTATTTTTCATGAAGGAACTTCAGTGGTGGGAGTGTTATGGTTTGGGATGATTTTTCTGTATTGAGAAAATTGGATTTGGCATTCGTTACCTATCTCATGAACAGTGCCGACTATCAACAAGTTCTGGAGAACAAATAGTTCCCATACAAACATAGATTCAGAAGAATTCCTCTTATTTTTAACAGGACAACGCATCTATCCATGTATCACAAGATCCAAAATAGTGATTTGAAAATACAGTGGTACCTCGGTATACGTCTGCTTTAGAATACGTCCAATTCG